TTGCGCATGCGTAGAACGAGCATGTACATGCGAGTTAAAAAGCTTATGTACTCTGAGTGGTGCACACTCAATTGTTGCTATTTACGTCTTGGCGATAATTGTCCCATTGTGAGAATAAAAAAATATCCTCTAATCCACGAACAGCTATTTCGTAGAAAATTAGAGGAAAAATCGTGTATTTTGATATTGTCTTCATTGGATTTCTCTTGTATTCTTCATGCATTAAAAAAATTCACAATTACAATGTTCTTATTTTTTATTGCAGTATTGGGACAACTAGATATAAACAGATTCCAATTCAACTCCTCGACACACGAGGCATTTTCCTGAACTTGAGAGTCCCTGGAATTCCCTCAAAATAAAACCTATATCATTCAATTTATACTTTCTGTTTCAGGAATTATATTGGACATACCTAAATTTCAAAATCCGAATACTGATGACGATATCGACTCAGAGGATTTCGATACACCTTCAGATTGATTGAACAAATAATCTCTTGAATTGTATATTTTTTTGTATTTTTCCCATGTGGAATTATTTTAATTAAATTGTAAATGGCCCGAGTATTATTACATTGGAAAAAAATCATCAATTCTATGTTATAATGATGCAACAACAAAAATTGAACGCCAATACTGAATTCTATACGTTCTAGAAGGTTTGAAAACTTTTTGAGCGGACGGTACGAGAGAGATAGGTATCCTTGAAAATCGCCCCTCTCTGTCGGCTCGTGTCAGGCGGATCAGTGCCCTTTCCAGTATATACTACATTTCAGTCGGTGCGTGGGTAAGGGCGCACAATCAAAAAGAACAGAGAATTAAGAACAAACATTAGGAACAAGGAATAAAGAATAAATTTCAACATTATGTAATTAATGTTTCAACGCACAATAGATGAATAGGAAATATAACCAAGGAACAAGTGTTGGAATATAGATATAAAATATTGTTTACCTGCCTCCTCCTCATGGCATTGGATCATACATACCCGAAAAAATTTAGTGAAGTACAAAATAAAATGCAGGCAGATGAGGATAAAAAGCAAGATGTTGATGTCNCGGATCAGTGCCCTTTCCAGTATATACTACATTTCAGTCGGTGCGTGGGTAAGGGCGCACAATCAAAAAGAACAGAGAATTAAGAACAAACATTAGGAACAAGGAATAAAGAATAAATTTCAACATTATGTAATTAATGTTTCAACGCACAATAGATGAATAGGAAATATAACCAAGGAACAAGTGTTGGAATATAGATATAAAATATTGTTTACCTGCCTCCTCCTCATGGCATTGGATCATACATACCCGAAAAAATTTAGTGAAGTACAAAATAAAATGCAGGCAGATGAGGATAGAAAGCAAGGTGTTGATATCAGAAAACAGTGTGAAGAGGGGGATGAGTTATTGATTGAATTGATTCGATCCTATCCGCATATATATGGGATAAAAAAATCCCAGATCTCGATTTATGATTTGATTCGTTGCTCCACATTCATGAACATAATTCACAATTTGATTGTTTATTTGGCAGTGATGCAATATTTGAATGTTTATTTGCGAGTGGCGAACAGAATGAATTTTATTGCGCATGTCATCTGTGCTTATATTTTTTGATTGTGCGTTGGATTGTTCTCTGTTCCTCACGCTANTCTGTTCCCCACGCTATATTCGCTGTTCCTAATGTCTGTTCTCAATTCCCTGTTCTTTTTGATTGTGCACCGGCCGATGTTCAATGCTAGCTTCGGCGACTAGAATATAAATTAAATACAGTCTGTTTCAGAACAAAAAGTTGACTAATTTGAAAAAAAATATTGATTAATAGAACATTCGCGCCCGTTATTTCGATCGACGAAAAAATGTAAATAAAATATGCAATTCACAGTACCCTATCGTCAGAGAGACAAATACTAATCCTTACAATTATAAATCATCATTAACATAATTTTAATAACAAATACCCAACTCCTCATTAATTAAACCCTTTTTTCTTCCCAAATTATCCCAAAATCCAATTTCATTTTTCAACTCATCGTTTAGGGGAGGGTGGGGCAAAATGGGACAGTTCGTGATTTTCTCCAATTGTCAATATCTTTATTTATGAATAAAAATATTGTGATTTAGAGAAGATCAAAAACTGTCCCATTTTGCCCCACCTTCCCCTACTATAAAATGGAATTAACTTTTTGCAGAAGTAAAAACAGAAAATGTGGTGAAATCATAAAATTAAATTAATTATACGCATTTGAATGAAATAAAACTCTTTATTTTAATAATTTCTAGTCATTTCAATAGAAGCATTTGAATTGGATGAAATGAACAATTCATTAATTCCAGATAAATCCTCTATTGAAATGAAATGAAAGCTTATTTGATCGAAATAAAGAATTATTACACGTGAATAGATTCATTCTCCAAGCAATCATTCCATTTCTACCTAATGAAGTCCTTAATCAGTTCAAAGAAACATCCATGTGAATTAAAAACTATTTTTTTAATGTAAAATAAAAACGCGAATGAACAGCATTTTAATAAACTCATTTATTCCATTCCTCCCACCCATTTCCTCGGGTATAAATGACGTTTACTTGAGAATAAAAAGATATTTCCCACCAAATGCCATCACATCCCATTTTTCCACGTGTAAACACTACAAATATATGAAATTTCCTTATATTTTACTGATACATCACTTAAATTTTGCAGTATTCTGAAGATGTTCTGAAGATCCAGGGGGTGGAGACAATCCCATCGCGTCTCAAATAAAAAAAAATAAGTTCTGTTTATTTCATTATGGATTATGATCATGTTATATTAAATAATCAGCTTCTTTCGGAGACCCAGGGGACAGGACACGATGATGTTTCCAATAAAATATCCAATAGGCCCTCTGAGCATTACTGTCCTCTCAGATACCCTGAAATTACAAAAATCAACAGGTCATGAGGGTGATACTGTCTGGAATGACGTGTGGTACGAAAAATCAAGGGAGAGAACTTCTTTCAAGCTTCAGGAATAATTTTTCGAGGGGATTAAGACGTTGAATTCACCTGAACAGTTGCCTAGGGGTTCCCTAGTGGCTCTGACTATCTTGGATCCCAGGATTCATCTTCCTGAGAAGAGGAGGAAGGCTGTGCTGAGGCAGAATGAGCACAGGGAGGTGTTAAAAGTACCTGAGGGAGTGGCCGAGAATCCTCTCTGGGGGGATGGGGTCAGGGAGAGAGTTAAGGGGGAGCTTAAGACGAGTAATGAGATTAATAAGTTGAGGGGGGGGGGGAATCTTGTGCCTAGGGTGCAGTATGATGAGGAAATCGTGGGGAAGGAACCAGTTATTCTTGTGCAGTCCCCTGGGGCCAGTGGTGGAGAGAAAAGCAAGAGAGAGAATTCCCCTGACCTGTCGTGAGGGACTGCTGCCTCCAGTGGGAGGTGCCTGTTCAATTTCACTGGTGGCCAGAGGTGCCTCCTGCAGGTTCAATGCCTGAACTGCTTGGGATAGAGATGGAGATGCTGACAGGACATTCTCCAGTTCAGGTGACGTTGAGCTCGAGATGTTCTCTTTCTTCGCTGGGGAACTGAAGGCGTCAGGTGTCATGAGGTTGAGACTTGCTGAGTGATCCTGATTCCTCTCCATTCTCTTCAGCTATTCCATTCTGCTCGTGACGAATGTGCTGGGGGTCCTCTGTGTAGTCCAGGGAGTCGTGGGTGAGGGTGTCCATGAGACAAGCGTTCGAGACGAGTTTAGCGGGTTGAAAGGCTGTGTCACTCTTGGAGAGACTTTGGCTGCATCAGGTACATCCTGAGGGGATTAATGGGTGATTAATGAAAAAAAAAGTATTTTGATTCCTCTTTGTGGATTATTATATAGATGTTTTCGATAAAATCGTGAAGTTAATAATGAAATTATGAGGGAAGAATATGGAAATTTTAATTAGATTTTAGTTTGAATTTCTATTTTGATTTTCATGTGTGAGTTATTGTCTAGAAATTTTCAACTGATTGTCTAGAAATTTTCAATTTTCAACTGTTCAGGTGAATTCAACGTCTTAATCCCCTCGAAAAATTATTCCTGAAGCTTGAAACAAGTTCTGTCCGTTGATTTTTCGTACCGCACGTCATTCCAGACAGTTTCACCCTCATGNATTTTTAATTTTTTATTCAGGCATGTAATTTGAAGGTTACATTTTGTATAGAATTTATCTATTGCTGTAAGAGCTTCGGAGTCAGTTGCCATCATAAACTGGAAGGTCCATGTGTGAGTTATTGTCTAGAAATTTTCAACAAATTGTTGAGGGTAACATGAATTAGCAATTGAAGGATAATAAAATTAAAAATAGGCATGAGTCAATTTTAAATTCAATTTCTTTTTGTTGAAATTATTCTTTTGTAAATATAGGTATTTTTTGTGTAGAAGTTCTTAGGTGTAAATTTTCCAAGTTTTTCCTGCTGTTTTTTTTTGTTTCTCAACGCGAAATCCAAGAGAAATAATTGAAATTCTTAGTAGAATGAACAGAATTCGAATAGAACTCTGAAAGAGTTTTTTTTCTATTTATCTGATAGAAAAAAATGAGAAGAATTTTCATAGAATTAAAAATTCAATTTCAATTAAAATTTAATTAAAAACTCTTTCTCTACCCATGCTCATTAGATAAATTCCTCTGAGGATTCGAAAAATTACATTCCTAAAATGTTAAAAAAAAATTATTTATAAAATATTGCGTTCCCTAAACAATTACGTTCTATCATCATTTCTATAAAATCAATATCAATTGCTGTCAATTGCTTCAACTAATCCCTAATTAATTGTATTTAAACACAATTGCACTACATCGTTACTGATAGAATTCCATATCAACAAAAGAATTAAATTCCAAACCCTCGGAACAAAATATCATGAAACAAAATTTTTTAAAAATGAAATGTCTTCAGGTGAACCTCATTGGTAGCATCCTGGAATCCCCCATTTGCTGCCACATCTGAAAAACTTCAAATCTGAAAAGGCTGATTTCCTAGAAACCCCATTCTCATTAAATAAATTCCTCTGAAAATTCAAAAAATTACTTCCTAAATTATTAGAAAAAAATATTCATAAAATATTGCTTTCACTAAACACTCTGCTCTAGCATTTCTCTAAATGCAATAACAATTGCTGGCAATTGCTTTAACTAACCCCTAATTAATTGAATTTGAACACAATTCTACTAAATCGTCACTAATAGAATCCCACATCATCAACCGAATTGAATTCCAAACCCGCACAACGAAACATCATGAAACACAATTTAAAATAAATTAAATATCCTCAGGTGAAACTCATTGGTAGCACCTGGAGACCCCGAGCTGTCTCTACATGTGGCAGCCCCACGAGGGTCGCCCCATGTCCTCCCTCTACTTCCTGGACGACTACAAGAACTGCCAGCCCGACGTCCAGTTCTGGAGATTCGCGATAACAGGTTGTGACAGAAACAGCAAACTCCAGATCTGGTCGTGCGAGAAGTGGGTGTGCCTGCAGACGATAAAATTCCAGCCCTCACCGCCCCCAGTCCTCAAAGCAGGCCTGGACCTGGCCTCGGGCTTCCTCTTGATGTCAGACATTGCGAACAAAGCCCTCTACATCCTCAGCCTCTCCAAGGACATGACAGACTCAGTGGCATGTATCGCCAGCATCTCAAAGTTCCTTCTTCCCTATTCCATTCTCAGTTTTGCCATTGGTGATGCTGGGATGAGGATGGTTCGACCCACTGGAGAGTCCCTGGAGGATCTTTGTCCTTGTGAGGATGAGAGTGAGGATCAACACGTCATCAGGTTAGTCATCTTTTGATTCTTCTTCTAGTTATATTTTTTGTCATTAAACATCTATTGAGAAATGGTAGAGAAAGAGTTTTTAATTAAATTCTAATTGAAATGGAATTTTTAATTCTATGAAAATTCTTCTGAACTTTTTCTATCAGATAAATAAATAAAAAACTCTTCTGGAGTTCTATTCGAATTCTGTTCATTCTACTAACAATTTCAATTATTGCTCTTGGATTTCGCGTTGAGAAACAAAAAAAACAGCAAGAAAAACTTGGAAAATTTACGCCCAAGAACTTCTACACAAAAAATACCAAGAGAATGACTCACGCAGAAGAATCATTGACTGTTTTCCATAAAAATATTTACAAAAGAATAATTTCAACAAAAAAAAATTGAATTTAAAATTGACTCATGCCTATTTTTAATTTTATTATTCTTCAATTGCTAATTCATGTTACCCTCAACAATTTGTTGAAAATTTCTAGACAATAACTCACACATGACAATCAAAATAGAAATTCAAACTAAAATCTAATTAAAATTTCCATATTCTTCCTTCATAATTTCATTATTAACTTCACGATTTTATCGGAAACATCTATATAATAATTCACAAAGAAGAATCAAAATATTTTTTTTTATTAATCACCCATTAATCCCCTCAGGATGTACCTGATGCTGCCAAAGTCTCTCCAAGAGTGACACAGCATTTCAACCTGCTAAACTCGTCTCGAACGCTTGTCTCATGGACACCCTCACCCACGACTCCCTGGACTACACAGAGGACCCCCAGCGCATTCGTCACGAGCAGAATGGAATAGCTGAAGAGAATGGAGAGGAATCAGTATCACTCAGCAAGTCTCAACCTCATGACACCTGACGCCTTCAGTTCCCCAGCAAAGAAAGAGAACATCTCTGTCACATCACATCTGTCAGCATCTCCATCTCTATCCCAAGCAGTTCAGGCATTGAACCTGCAGGAGGCACCTCTGGCCACCAGTGAAATTGAACAGGCACCTCCCAGTGGAGGCAGCAGTCCCTCACGACAGGTCAGGGAAATTCTCTCTCTTGCTTTTCTCTCCACCACTGGCCCCAGGGCACTGCACAAGAATAACTGGCTCCTTCCCCACGATTTCCTCATCATACTGCACCCTAGGCACAATATTCCCCTCCCTCACCTTATTAATCTCATTACTCGTCTTAAGCTCCCCCTTAACTCTCTCCCTGACCCCATCCCCCCAGAGAGGATACTCGGCCACTCCCTCAGGTACTTTTAACACCTCCCTGTGCTCAGAACCCCTAGGCAACTGTTCAGGTGAATTCAACGTCTTAATCCCCTCGAAAAATTATTCCTGAAGTTTGAAACAAGTTCTCTCCCTTGATTTTTCATACCACACGTCATTCCAGACAGTTTCACCCTCATGACCTGTTGATTTTTTGTAATTTCAGGGTATCTGAGAGGACAGCAATACTCAGAGGGCCTATTGGATATTTTATTGGAAACATCATCGTATCCTGTCCCCTGGGTCTCCGAAAGAAGCTGATTATTTAATGTAACATGATCATAATCCATAATGAAATAAAGAGAACTCATTTTTTTTTATTTGAGACACGATGGGATTGTCTCCACTCCCTGGATCTTCAGAACATCTTCAGAATACTGCAAAATTTAAGTGATTTATCAGTAAAATATAAGGAAATTTCATATATTTGTAGTGTTTACACGTGGAACAATGGGATGTGATGGCATTTGGTGGGAAATATCTTTTTATTCTCAAGTAAACGTCGTTTATATCCGAGGAAATGGGTGGGAGGAATGGAATAAATGAGTTTATTAAAATGCTATTCATTCGGGTTTTTATTTCACATTATAAAAATAGTTTTTAATTGACATGGATGTTTCTTTGAACTAATTAAGGACTTCATTAGGTAGAAATGGAATGATTACTTGGAGAATGAATCTATTCACGTGTAATAATTCTTTATTTCGATCAAATAAGCTTTCATTTCATTTCAATAGAGGATTTATCTGGAATTAATGAATTGTTCATTTCATCCAATTCAAATGTTTCTGTTGAAATGACTAGAAATTATTAAAATAAAGAGTTTTATTTCATTCAAATGCGTATAATTAATTTAATTTTATGATTTCACCACATTTTCTGTTTTTACTTCTGCAAAAAGTTAATTCCATTTTATAGTAGGGGAAGGTGGGGCAAAATGGGACAGTTTTTGATCTTCTCTAAATCACAATATCTTTATTTATAAATAAAGATATTGACAATTGGAGAAAATCACGAACTGTCCCATTTTGCCCCACCCTCCCCTAAACGATGAGTTGAAAAATGGAATTGGATTTTGGGATAATTTGGGAAGAAAAAAGGGTTTAATTAATTAGGAGTTGGGTATTTGTTATTAAAATTATGTTAATGATGATTTATAATTGTAAGGATTAGTATTTGTCTCTCTGACGATAGGGTACTGTGAATTGCGTATTTTATTTACATTTTTTCGTCGATCGAAATAACGGGCGCGAATTTTCTATTAATCAATTTTTTTTTTCAAATTAGTCAACTTTTTGTTTTGAAACAGACTGTATTTAATTTATATTCTAGTCGCTGAAGCTAGCATTGAATATCGGCCAAAATTACCCCACTTCACGGTTTCGCTGCAACACAAACTAAAATCATCAAGATACGAACCGCACGTTCATTTCGGTCCTATACTCCAAAGAGGATAGACCTGAGTAGAGGCCCGGATCGGGAGGTTTGACCAGAGATTATAACCCAAGTAGCAAACCTTGCGAAAGATATCTGAAAGTATACCAAAAAGGCAAACTAATGTCCGTCCAAAAGGTATCTTGCAGTCATACGATAACTTTTAGTTAACTTCTAGGTAACTTCTAGACACAAGTTACCTTTTTGGACAGACATTAGACAGCCTTTTTGGTATACTTGCAGATACCCTCCAGAACTGTGCTGCTTGGGTAAGGGAGATTGCTAGCGCCTATGGAAACGCTTCAACCGCAAAATTTCGTAGTGGTGGCGCAGAACTAATTTTGAGTATGTACCTGTAAGTAAAACAGGGAGCGTGTGATAGCGTCGATAACGGCGCAGAGTGGGGGGGAACGCGTATTGTGGAATCGCAGGGCGGAGCGAGCGGTGATGTTCGCTGTCGAGTAGGTGAGGGAAACCTACCGCAGTTCGAAACGCCGACGGGCGGCGGAATCCTGCCCTTAATATAACAAACAATTTCTCCTTACCTAATGAGGACGAAGGGATGAAACGGTTGCCAATCGATTGAAAATTGAATCCTCAACTGATTGCGATCTGTTTTATCCCTTCATCTCAATTAGAGGGGGAGAAACGAATATTTATGGATCGAGTGAGTCCCCAAACGGCTCTCCCCATTGAAAAATCCATTTCTCCTCCTCCAGCAGAGATTAAGGGATGAAACTGGTGACAATCGATTGAGAATTGGATCCTCAACCGATTGCGGTCGTTTCATCCCTTCATCTCAATTAGGGGAGGAGCGATGAATGTTTCAAGCGCCGGAGGATCCCGACCGATTCTCCGGCGGCTTTNCAGAATTGAATCCTCAATCGATTGCGGTTTCATCCCTTCATCTCAATTAGAGGGGGAGAAACGAATATTTGAAGCAT